AGAAAATGCCTTACAGCTGGATCTCATGGAGGCATTTCCTCAAGGGAGGCTCCTTTCTCCGTGATAACTCCAGTTTGTATCAAGTTGACACACAAAACCAGCCAGTACAAGGATAGATTACTCTTCTCCAATTCATTCAAGCTTATCTTATTTTATTTTAAAAAGAAATGATCTCCCTTAGATGAGTAAGTTTCCCAGAATTGTCTAGGCCTTTGCCTTTGTTCTTCGTGTGGAGCATTCTCGAGGAGCTTTCTTACAACAGCCCAGCAGTAAGCTGGGAATGCCCCGGGCTATCTATCTTTGCTGGATCAAGGATGCATAGGACCCTTGAGGGATAATAAATCTGCCTCCGATAACAATCCCAATTTAGCTAGCAAACTCCTACAGGCTTCAGCTGGAGGCTGCTTGGATGAAGAGGGCAAGAGGCTTCTCAAAGAGTTTAGACCTCAGGAGGAAAGTGAATTTATCACCTGCCAGGCCTGGCTGTCACCACCCACCTTGTCTCCTCCCACCCACGGTGGGACACAGCTGGAGGAGGGGATGCTATGTAGAAAAAATGCAGGATATACATGACTGATATATAGCCTATAGGTCTCACTATAGAGAAGCAAATACATGCCACTATTGTTTAGCTCAGACTGTGTGTCCTGCCGGCTGGGCACCGTCTTTCCGCATCCTGATTGCCTGGGTCTGAAGCTCGGTGTTACAGTGACTGATCTGAATCCAGAGGCACCTGCTGAAGTTTCCAGGTGCTTGTGCTTCGGAACAAAGGGCTGCACCAGGAACACAATGGGAGAAGTAGAGTTTGCGCCCGAGAGGCAGGCAGTTGGTAATGGCATCCGCTTGATGACCTGAACCCCATCTGAGAAACCCCTGTGTTAGAAGAAGAGAGATGTCTCCTGAGAGTTGTTCTCTGACCTCCACATACATGTTGTAGCATGTATGTGTCCTGAAACCCCCAAAATGAATGGATGAATGAATGAATGAATGAAAAGAAACAGGAAAGGAAAGATAGCACACCCATTAAAAAGGGAATAAACTAAAGAAAGCTCACGGCCGTTCCTAGGTCACGCTTTCTGTGTGGTTGCTCACATGTCATGTTGTTGGCACATGCTCTGTTTGCCATGTGTTGTGTAGGTGGGGACAGGTTTCTGGTCTTTTAGTGTCAACTAGCTCCCTTCATATGCTCTTCTGGGTTCTTCTTTCTCCAGTTCCTACTCTCCAGCCACACATGTTGCTGTGCCTCTTACAAGAACTCCAGCCAGCTCTAGGCCCCTGCCCCAGTTGTCTGCAAAGCTGAAACAAATACAACAAGCTTGATCCGGGTAGAACAAGCGGTACCTGGCTCGTAGGCGGCGCTTAACAAGGGCAACCTGTTATCCAATCATGCCTAAGAGAGTCCCGTATTCTCAAACATGCTTTTCAAAATTCATTCAGTTGGAAAAGAGTTTTACGTCTTGTCCTCTGAGCTCCTGGCTTCTGGCTGCAGAGGCACATCGTAGATTTTAGTACACACAGTCCACGCAAATATGATGTCTGGGTATACAATTTTTATACACAGAGCAACCGCAGGCTTGGCCAGTGATGTTACAGATTCTGGGCTGTGGCCTTACATATCAGCCTCATCTGTGCTCCTGTGAAGAAAAGAACTTCCCAGTAATATTTGAATTATTGATAGAGCAAGATCTCCTTGTTGTGTGCTCAGTAAGCCTTTGTGTTTACACTTACGTACCTCAGCAACCAGAATGTGAGTCGAAAGCAGAACTAAAGGCAGCCCTTGTTTGCTGGCAAGTAGCAGGCTGGTCCTCACCACGACATTTAGTGTAGATGCATTTGGGGATGGCTGTCCTGCTCACAGAGAGCCCTCACCCCTGTGTCTGGGTACTGTGGAGGCATGCATCGTAGGCTCTGACTTCCACTGGGCCCAACAGGATCTCATTCCTGGAGGTTTGGAGTTGTCTCCAAGTGGGTCTCCATGGGGCTGGGTTAGACACCTGTGAGGTCAGGAGTAATGAGAAGCAGGAGTTATCAGAAAAGCAACATCGATGCGGCTGCTGGGCCTCTGACATCCTCAGGCTGGCTCAGGTCTTTGCAGAGCACCAGCCTAATCCTGCTTCCCATCTCCGCAAACTTCGTGGATCCTCAGCGAACTCCTTGTACTTGACTTGGGTTGTACTGGTTGTGGTGAGTTGCAGTTAAGAACCTTAATCAGTACAGCATCACCCATCAGGGGTAGGTAGGGGAGCACCACAACACTGGCTGTCACGGCACAAGAGCGTGAGATGGGACACACATGTTGCCTAAGGATCCTCAAAGGCAAACAGGAGTGCCTCTCAACTCCTGGACCCAGGAATCCAGCCTGTCACACTGGATGATGATTTCCAGAACATACAAATGGCCCTTCCAGTTACTGTACTTCCCTGGGGCTGTAATGGAGACTCCAGAGGGGGTATCCTAGTGTTTACCAACATCAGCATGATAGGGAATGCTGTGGGTGTGGCCCGTGACCACAATGTTCTGCTGTGATGGCCGCACTGTGGAGCACTGGAGTGTGGCACACCATAATGTTGGACGGGGATCTCTGCAGGGCCTCAGATATTCATGCTCTCAACCAATTAACTTATTTTAAAACACACAAATAAATGTAGTCCAGGCCGGCCTCGAACTTGTGGCAGTAAGTCTCCCAAATGCAGGGGTTACAAGGCATGAACCAAGGGCCATGAGATTTAGCATGAATGTCCTATGAGAGAACATATTTTAATAAGGTCACAGCTCTGCTCCTTTGCTGATGGAAGTGGCTAGCATAAGGAAGCAGTCACCAGGAAGCTGGCTGACCACCAGGGAGCAGTGCTGTGCTGGAGACTCTGTGTGTTGGTCTTTCCTGCTGGCAGGACAGGCACAGTGGCTGCTACGGTTGGGTGGGCTTGGGTGACAAGAGGTCTAGTTTGTTGAACTCATGTGTCACATCCATCCCTACCTGTCCTGGCCACCATATTCATGAATCCATGGGGTGTGTGTGTGTGACAACAGGGCAACTGGAGAAAGAGGCTGGCTGCTACCCTCAGAACGTGCCATCCTCTCTGAGGTCACCTCCTGGTGAGCACTCACAGGAGATAAAACTCTTCACCTTTTTATTTTTTATTTTTTAAAAAGATTTACTTACATAGTTTATGTGAAGAGGACATTGGATCCAATTATAGATGGTTGTGAGCCACCATGTGGTTGCTGGGAATTGAACTTGTGACCTCTGAAAGAGCAGCCAGTGCTCTTAACCCCTGAGCCATCTCACCAGCCCCCCTCTCTCCTCTTTTATGTGTGTGCATCTGTGAGCATGCGTGTGTACAGGTGCTCACGAAGCGGCAACCGAGTTTTAAACATCTGATTCTGATAATATTAAGTTTTAGATTTATTTTCATTTTGTGTTTGTGTCTGTCTGTCTCTTTTTCTGTGTGTGTGTGTGTGTGTGTGTGTGTGTGTGTGACAGGCAGAGGATGTCTGGTCAGTCCTCTGGAGCTGCAGTTACGGGTGACTGTGAGCTGCTCAGGATAGATCCTGTGAAACGGAACTCTGGTTCTCTGCAAGAATGGTTTGTGCTCTTAATTGTTAGGCCAGCTTTCCAGCCCCTGTTTTAAGACAGTTTATGCTATGTATTCGGAGGCATTCCTAGCTATCCTTGAGTGAGAGTCAGGTATACCTGAGAGTGTTCTGCGGCAGGCTGCCCTATTCAACTGTATTTACTATGGAATACCTCTTGGGGAGGAGAGGGTTAATTTTAGCTCACTACTTCAGATCACAGGCCACCACTGAGGGGAGTCAAGGCAGGAACCTAAGACAGGCCTGCATGCTATAGCACACAGCATTAACCTCCAACCAAGCGCTCACTTCAGTGCCAAGCAGGTACAGCAGTAACCACAGAGGATGCTGTTTGCCCGCTGGCTCACAGATGGGCTTCAGTTCAGCTTTCTTAGATAAGTTCAAGACCTGGGTAATGGTGCCGCCCACAGTGGGCTGGGCCTTCGAAGGCCAGTTAACTGTCAAGACGTTTCTCCCAGACAGGATACAGCGAATCTAATCTAGGCAATCATGGACTAAAGCTCTCTTCTCACACGGCCCTAGGCTATGTCACACTGACAGGTAAAGCTAACTAGCGCCATTTTCAATCCTGTTGCCCACTGCACTAAATCTAGACTCTTTGCTTATGTCTTTATCAACTTCAGCCGCATCCACCCGTGCTTACCCGAATGTTCTTGGTAAGAGGCTGCCCTGTCCAAGGCCTTGTCTCTCTTCTAGCGGTCACAGGTTCCTCCCTACCTGCAGAAACTCTCCCATGCTTCTTCCCAAAGTCGCACACCTGACCCCTGCTCCACCCTCAGCCAGGCCTCCGGGCCTTGGGCTGACTACTCCACGCAGTTTAGTTTTGTAGGTTTATTTTTTGCCTCCAGGTCCAGAGGCAAGGTTAGAACGAGCCTGGCCCCTGACTGGTACTTCCTGTACCCACTGTCCTGTGGCAGGTGCTTTGCTGAAGCAGCCAAAGGGAAGAGATGATGGAGGTGAGCCAGCTGCCAGGAGCTTGGCACAGGCCAGGGCTTGCGTGCTCCTGGCCAGCCCCGCGCTGCCAGCGATTCTCAAGTCATTTTTAACAGCTGCTCCCACCCCCCAACCTGTCATCTGTCATTTTCCTTCCCGCTTCACCCGACTTGGTAGGAAAGAAGTCCCTCTCTTGTGCACCCCATCTTTCACTCCCAGGGCCTGGGAAGCGCCCAGTCTTTCGGTCTCTGGCCACACTGCCCGTCACACTTCCCTCTCTTTGGTTTCCTCCAAGTGAAAAGCAAAACTTTCTGCGCGCTGCGGTCTGGGAGCCGCGAGGGGCGGCGCGCGCGTGCGAGGGGCCGGGGCTGGAGAGGAAGCGGCGGGTCCTGGGCAAGAGGAAGGAGCCAGCCCTCAGCTCGGCCCCCTGCCCGTTTCCCGCCGCCTCCGCGGCCGCCGTCACCGCCGTCACCGCCGTCCGGGGTGCAGCCGGCCCTACGATGCAGGGCGGGGGTCCCCGGGGCGCTCCGATCCAGGGTCCGAGCCACGGCGCAGGTAGGGCCCGGGGATCTGGAGGAGGGCGAGCGCGGCCTGCCGAGATCCGGGCGCACCCCGGTGCAGGGGAGGGAAACCGAGGCAGGGAGCGGGTTGTGCAGGGTGAGGGCGGTCACGTCCCCTGCTGCCACTGCAGCTCCCGTCCAAGTGCGTCCCCGCCCTGGGAGCCCAGCGGCCCCGGGCGCAGTCGGAGGGCGCGCCCGCACTCCTCGGCGGGGTCCCGGTGGCTCCGCAGGCGTCCGCCGCGCCCGAGTGCGGCTTCGTGCCCGGACTCCCTCGGGTGGCCGGCGCGGACCCTGCGGGGATGCAGGGCGAGGTTGGGAGAGGTGTGGGAATTGCAGCCCGCGCCTCCCGTGGGGCTGCTCGCCGCCCACTTCCGAGTGTGGACTGTGACGCGCAGGGCAGCGCAGGCTGAGAGGACTCACTCCATTTCCCCTGTCAGCTTGGGCCACCTACCAACCCTGGTGATGACATCGAGTTAAGTGAGAGGTTTCAACAATAACCTTGGCAACTCACTCTGAGAAAACCAAAGAAATGAACGTGATGGCGCATGCCTCTATTACCAGCACTCTAGAGACGGAGACAGGAGGATTGAGGGGACTTTCTAATACAGCCTGGGCTACAATAGTGAGACTCTTATCTCAAAAACCAAAATCAAAACAGAACAACGGAAAATAAAACAAGCACGGAGCCCTGCTCCAGATTGGGCTTTGCAGTTTGGGCAGGCCGTGCTGAAGGAGAGAAGGCAAAGGATTTAGGCGCTTCTTTTAGCTCTTGGAGCCTCGGTTTACCTATCTGTGAAAGGAAGACTAAACGCTAGCGTCCCTGTCTCCTTAACTAGGTTCTATGAAGACAGTTTTGCGAATGTGAGTTGGAAAACACGGGTTTGGTGTGTGGGCGTATGGTAAGAGTCTTCTGCAGATGCGTCCTGGACTCGGGCATGCCTCAGTTTTTCAATTTGTAAAATGGAGCTGATTTTCCTCTTTATTCGATAGGGTTTTTAAGGGGTTTAATGGGGTAGGAGAACATGAAACCCTTGGCCAAATGTCTGAGATACAAAGCAAATTCTCAAAAATCTCATAGTTGCCTAGGCTAGCCTTTAATCTGCTGCATACCCCAGGCTGGCCTCCAATTTGCTAGCCTTGGCCTCCCAAGAGCTGGGATTACAGGTGTGCTCCATTATTCATGGATCCTTAAGTGTTATTTTGACCATGCAAGACCTAATTACAGGGTATTTTTGAAAGACATTTGGCAGCTGACATGGAGACCATTGAGGTTTGGCCAGCACTCTGCCCTCAGCAAAGAGCCCTGGATGAGAAACCTGCTTTCTGAGCTGTCTCTCCAAGCCTCCGTTTTCTCTTCTGTTTACAAGAAAGAGAAAGCACCTGGCTGTCATCATTACTCTTTGCACTGTGATGTCTTAGGATAGAGAGCAGAACATCTGGAACTGGGGCTGGTGACAGCCTGCAGACAGCAGGCGCCACCTTTGCAGAGTGCATGGGCCAGGCACCTGCTCCTGCCCTTCGATGAGGTTCCCCTCAAATCTGTGAGGGGCTGGTGCTACTATCTTCGTCTTCCCTTGGATTCAGCAAGGGCTGGAGTCACCTGCCTGTGGCCCTGGTTGTTAAACACGGACTGGGGCTCAGAAACCAGATGCAGGTGTCTCCAGTCGCTGGCTGAAGGGAAGCCATCAGGTGGAGCCCAGGTTGAGAGTGGACTTTTGTCTGGTTAAAGGTAATGCTTGGTTGGTCCATTTCTACCTTTTATTTTTCATCTATGTATCTATGTATCTATGTATCTATGTATCTATCTATCTATCTATCTATCTATCTATCTATCTATCTATCATCTTACCCCTCTATCTATTTACCTACCTATCTATAATCTATCTATTTATCTATAATCTATCTATCATCTACCTATTTATCTTATCTATCATCTACCTATTTATCTTATCTATCATCCATCTATCTACCTATCTCCCTCCCCCCTCCATTCATCTGCTTACCTACCTACCAACATGCAGTACTAGGGATTGAACCTAGGGCTGTGTCCAATGCAAGGCAAGTGCTTTAGGGCTCAGTCAAACCTGTAGCTGGCATTTTTCATAACTGTAGACCCCCAAAAAGTAAGAATAAGTCATAGAAAGAACTTTGCTTTTCCCCCAATGTAATATTTTTATTAATTATTTGGGAATTTCATACAAATACAATATGGTCCACCCCACTCACTTCCTATTCCTCCCAGGTCCACCCTCCTACCCTTGTGCCCCTGCCCCCGACAAACAAACACCCCCAAGTTCAATCTGTGTTGCCCCGGCACTCACTGGAGCATGGCCAAACTCCAAGTGACAACTGAGGCCCCCCCCAACCCCTCCACATCCTGCAGAAAGAACTTTGGAAAGATAAATTTCATCTTTATTTTATAAGGTTCTATTTTGTGAGATCTTCTTGCAGAAGATCAATGAACTATCCATATCTATCATCTATCTACCAATCTCTTCAGTTTCTGCCCCACACTTTGTCTCCATAGTTGCTGCCATGACTATTTTGTTACTCCTTCTAAGAAGGACCGACACACTTTGGTCTTCCTTCTTCATGAGCTTCATGTGATCTGTGAGTTGTATCTTGGGTATTGTGAGCTTTGGGGAAGAAAAAAAAATGTCTTAGGGGTAGCCACGTTAGTGTAGAGAGTGACACTGGGTGACATTTTAGGTTAGGCCCACTCGACAAGAATTAGATTCTTTCTTTTATAATGATGATCACCGATGTTACATGTTCTGTTTGCATACCACCTTGCCTGTGTCCATGCCACCCACACGCCTTGGGCAGCCACCCTGGGTTAGGAACAGTCCTCTCCTGACATGGCTAGACCACCTATGGAGGTCATTTGTCCCTTAGCATCCTTTAGTAAGGATAGCTTTCAGCTCTGCAGAAAGCAGAGTCCTCTGCTGCTTGGGCTTGACTCTGGTGGCACTGTGGGGTCAGCCTCTGTGCATCCTTTTGAAACCTGATGCTTTAACCATTCAAAATGTACATCTTCTTTCAGAGTTAGAGCCCCCAGCTGCTGTTGGAGGCAGATCTGCGGTCAGCTCTCAGCTTTCTCAGTAAGCAGAGGAGGACAGGGCAGGAAAGCCGGGCCGCCTATGGATGAGATATTGGTATTTGGCTTTGGGAAGTGGTCAGGGGCTCACTGGAGTCTCTTTTCTCACTGCCATCTGCTTTGGTGACTTGCCTTTTGTCATAGCTCAGGAAATGGAAATGGCTTCCTCTCTAAGCTTTGGGATCCCTGTTCATCAACAGTAGTAACCAGAAATCTCCAGCTCACTGCTGAACAGAGCTTTCAACTGTCCAGTTGGGATATAGCTCACTTGGTTAAATGCTTACTGTATTTGCATAAAGCCCTTTGTTCCTCAGAAGCTAGGTTAAAAAGAAAAATCCAGGTGTGGCGGCACATCCTTGTAACTCCAGCACTGTTAAGGCAGCGACGGGAGGGTCTCTGGCGCTCACTGGCCAGGCGTTCGCGGTGCTCTCGGCTCTTGCTGGCCAGGCTGCCTAGTTGAACCACTGAGCTCCCTGTTTAGCAAGTTCCTGTCTCAGAAAACAAGGTGTGGCATGACTGTCATCTGGTGTCAACTGCTTGCCCTGCACACACATGCATACACACACATACACACACAGCCACATATACACATACACACAGACACACCACACAGACACACACAGACTCACACATATACATACACACATATACACACCCATATAAACACCCACACAGATACATACACACACATGCATACACACTCATGCATACATACTCATGCATACACACATATACACACACATACACACACATATACACACACATACACAGTCACACACAGACACACACAGACACATACACATACACACACATATACATACACACACACACATATACACAACCACAGACAAACCCACACAGACACATACACATTCATACACACACATATATACACATATACATACAAACTCCATGAATTTCAGTTTCTTGTGTCCTGGTAGGTAAGCCTCTGATGTCCTCATTTAACAAGTACAGCAACAGATAAAACTCTGTGTGTGTGTGTGTGTGTGTAAGTGAAACTAATTGTAACCATCTTTTTATATAAATGAACCTGCTCTTGACCTCATGATCTTTCTGACTCAGTCCCCTGACCATCTACAGTGCCGAGTGAGTAGAGGTGTACCCCACTGTAGCCCACATTAAGAACTATGTATCTAGGGCTGGAGAGATGGCTCAGTGGTTAAGAGCACTGACTGCACTTCCAGAGGTCCTGAGTTCAAATCCCAGCACCCACATGGTGGCTCACAACCATCTATAATGAGATCTGATGCCCTCTTCTGGTGTGTCTGAAGACAGCTACATTATATAATAAATAAATCTTTAAAAAAAAAAAAGAACTATGTATCTAGATATTTGATTAGGGGAAGAAGCATGCACTGATTGATTAATTCTGAGTCATCGATAACATGTCAATATAGCATCAAGGAGAGAAAGAAAAGCACTCGCCCTTGGAGTCATTTAGCCAAGAGTGAATCCAGATTCAAATTCTCAACTGCATGTTTTCTGTAGTGTTGTCCTCTGTCTATAAGTCTGAATTTGTGCCTGCCTGGAGGCCGTCTTGGGAAACTGTCTGTCTGTCTTTCTCCCTGTCTCTTTCTGTTTACCCTATCTCTCATTCTTTCTCTCCCTCTCTCTCTCCCTCTTTTCCTCCCTCCTTCCCTCCCACCCCTCTCTCTGTGTGTCTGTCCCTGTGTATGTCTGTTCCTAACAAAGGACTCTGTTGTGCCTCTATTGAACAGCACAGGAAGCATTACGTGAGGACGGTATGCCATGTTTTACAGAACTCTTGATATTTTTGAAGGACTAAGCCATTGGCTCCACTCGATCCCAACCTTCTCACACAACACAGTACGAGCATCTCTGTTCATCAGTCAATATCCGTAAACGCATGTTCATTT